CTGCCTAAATTCCAGCAACAACATCAACAACAATAATATGGGGAACGTGTTTTAAGAAAACCACAGCAGACTATGTATAAAATTTGTCGAGGCTATTATGTCGTTGTGTTTGTGTATGTGTTTGGATTATTTATTTTTGTGGAGCTTCAAAATGTGTGAAATAAAATGTGTGACAAGTGGGAGAGTAATGACTTTAAAATAGTTATGTGGAAAATTTGGAAATTGTCAAATTTTGAATAATGGAAATTTGGAAATGACATGAATTTAGAAACAAGTTAGGAAGTTTTAGATATACACCATCAGCATTTGACCCCTTGTTTATATACCCTCCACCATTCTATGGATGTTATATTGACTTTGTCATTCCGATAGTAACTCCTCGAAATACTCATGATAGACTCCACAAAGTATATTTCCTTTGTATACAATTTTATACAATTTGTATACAATTTTAAGTCTTTTTCAATCACGCTACCCTTCGAACGAATTTACTACAGACTTTGACAAAAAAATTCGCATACAGGTCCACGTCTTCGTATAGGCCCATATAACGGTACATTTCGATATTCGGTATTTTTATGATTTTAGCGACATTATTTAGCGGAATTGTTCAAATTTCGTATTTAAAGGTCTTAACGGGTACTACAGCGTATTGACAAAAAATTTTGTATACAGGTCCACGTCTTCGTATAGACCCATATAACGGCTCCTTTCGATATTCGGTTATTTGATTATTTTAGCGACACTATTCAGCGGAATTGTTTCTAATCTCACATTCAAAGTTTTTAATGGGTACTACAACCTGTGACAAAAGATTTCTTATGAAGTTCCAGGTCTTCAAATAGTCCCAATTTAACGGTACCTCCCCTTATCCGGTATTTTGATGATTTTAGCAACATTATTCATCGGAATTGTGACAAATTTCTTATTTGAAGATCTTATTGGGTACAAAAGCCTATGAGAAAAAATTAGTTATGCATTCCACGTATTCGTATAGCACCCAGATAACGGTTTTCATTTAAGCGAAATTTTTCGGATTTTTTTTTTAATTTTTCAGGTCCCTTCCAAATGATGGATGGGTATTTACAGTTTGGCCCAAACGAACTTAGCTTGTTAACTTGTTGAAGATTGGATCTAAAACCCTCTTTTCGAAATATTTATACTTTTCTGGAGAGATAACAGGAAGAATGGGCCTAAATATTCTAATTTTACACTGGCAGAAAAAAATTAAAAAGTGAAAAGTTCAGACATTGATTTCCCACTTTTAGCGATTTTAATTAATTCAAAATGTGTACCTTTTTTGGGAAGGTATAGGATTACCAAGTTCGAATTATATAGGGTGCTGTCTTCGCTCAATTTGACATTTTGATATGGTTTTATGGGAAAATGTGAACCAATATATTCCAAGTTTAAACTTTTTCCAAAATAGGCAAAACTATTAGAATTTGGACTAATTTTAGGATAGTTATAATTGTTTTAACCAGAAGCAATAGTTGACTTCGAAATCGACGGTACTCATCCCCAATGAGAAAAACAAATTGTGCGACAATAGCAGCGTAACTGTTTTGCAGCTTCCTTTCTTACACTGTACCAGAGGTAGGCAAAGTTCAAATCCTTTCCAGGCAAAAATGAAGCCTCGTATCTATCGAGTCATTGATTGATCTAGAACCCACTTAACGCCAGTTGTACGTCTGGAGTTTGAGGTTCTTTCAATCCAGTATTTTTAGAATATGAACCGGATACACCGAATATTTGATCAGAACCTGCCTACATGGAATCTCAATATCTCAGTTCCTTCCCGTTGGCCTTGAATGAATGACATTCACTTTCCTGACTAGAGAGGTCTGGTTCTTTTCATTTTAATAACTGATATCTTTGATACCTTTGAAAAGGTGAGAAGACAATGACTGATCTCTCACTCTAGGTAATTTTTGTCAATGAAAGTCATTTGAAGTTGGTGTGTGTACAAAGCCTAGAAGTACATCCTTGCCTTGAGCTGAAACCTGATATAAACGCAGTGGTGCAACTCAGGCATAGAAAAGGTCCATTGAGATAAAATTCGTATTTGTTTAGCGAAGACACGAACCTGACACAAAGTGATTAAAAGAGCGTTAACAATTTTCGGGAAATCATTGTAAGAATCGTTGTAAGATTTAGAAGATTTTCCAAAAAAAAAAAAATAGTTTTTCTTTGGTTCCTCTTCTATTGAGCTTACGATCTCGTCACTTGGGTAAAAAAGTTTTTGTCATAGGAGTTATTTTAAAATAACTTCTGGGGAGAATATCCCAGGCAAAAAACAAAGGAACTGATGAGGATTGGTGGCTCTTTCCGAAACCTAGGTATTCCCTGCCTTACCCCTTTGGTAAACATTACCATCGTTCTCCACTAATAAACAAATGTTGTTTTATAAAAACAACAATAATGGGATTAAGCCTGACAATTTTTGCAACAACAAAATACTACGATATCCCAAACAAACATGCCAACACTGTTCTATTTATCAAAATTCTTAAAAGAATACAGTTTTTTATTTATAAAAAGTTAAGGGCGATTGGGAAGAATGCGAGGTATCCGAGATGAAGAATGTGGCTTGGAAGCTTTATACAGGTTTCTTGACCTTGGCTTGTCGTTGCTCCGTTGATCAATATATCCTCCCAGTAGTGCGAGGTGAAGGGTGTGTCTTGGTAGCCTGGTACAGTGAAGGTTTCCTGACCTTGGTGTGTCTTTTTTCAGTTGACCGATCTACCCTCCTAGTAGTACGTGGCATCCATACCGACTCTGAGCTGTGCCAAACTTCATGTTTTCTTCATTCCTTTCTTATGAGATGGCTATATTGTGTTCCTGTTCTTCTATGAGAAACCACCGACTGCAGAAGACAGTGCGTACTCAGTCAATAACTGCCATCTGATCTTCCAACTCAGGCTCCAAAGTCGTAAGGTCATTGGTTTCCTACCTGGTCCCAGTCTTTTTGGTGTTAGTAGATGAAGTGTAATGCATAGATTATGTCCTAGAAATCTGTTTTTGGGAGGATATCTTGCCCAAATAGGTGCGTTTTCTTGGCTCACCGTTCTCCTCTCACGACAGAGTGTTGTGAACAATGTTCAGATTCTTCGGTTCAACGAATTTAGAATTCGAATATCAAATGTTCGGCAATACCTTCATCCGAGAAGACAATGTGCCGTAGCTGGTTTTCAAATAGAAGTGATCAACTATCGGTAATAGGGTCTGAACTGTCTATAATAACATCCAAACTTGTATGGGCACAAAATCCAGAAGAATTTACGGTTTGTACTGCTCAGGCTAGAAAGGGTCTTAGTGCTCCACCATTTCGCAATATTCAAGATGATAGCATAAAAAGTGAAATGCTCAGGTAGTGGAAACCTGGCACAGTGAGGTCTTATTGACTCCACAAGGATTTCCTTGTCCAAACCTTTTACAAGCTACTAGTTGAACCCGTTATTTTTGTACTGATTTCCGTTACACATTCTAAATCTGGAGACTATATCTATAACCGATCAATAGATATGTGTATTCAAAAACTAAATCTTCTGGGGGTAACTCCGATTCGGATGCTATATCTCCAGTTCCAATTGGAATTTTAAAACTTTCTATGGCCTATGTTACTTTCAGGCGGTGCTGTAGTGTGTATGGAAATTTTCAGGAAAATCTGTTTCCCAGTTTTTGAGTCTATAAATTACAAACATACAAACATTTTCCTCTTTTATAGATATAGATTTTTCTTCTCCATGAAGTTCGTGTTTTGGCAGAAGTCATGACCTCCTCGATAGAGTCAGAGTGAGCGCTCCATAGAAAGAATTGACTGAAGGAATTGGCATTTAACCAAAGCGTACGAGTTTGCCGATCAATAGTCGGATTCCGTCCATGGGTGAATTAACAAAAAATTGGTGCCGGTGATTCTATTCTAATCAGAGATTCCTTCCAGTTTGCAATCCTCTCTCCTGCTATTATTGTGAACAAATATTGATCGATAATCGCTGTTTTACCTACAGAAAATGCTCTGATGAGGACTTTCCCTAAAGAGATCCCCCAATTATTTTTTTAAGGGCGGTACAGGAGTTGCCTTATTTTTTTTTTAACAGCTCTAAATCAAAAATTCCAATCTGTCTTTGATTAACATGTTTTGGATCAAGATTCAATGGATAATTTCTGCACTTTAAAATTGCACTCTCCAGGACATTTTTTTATTAAATTTATTGTGCTTCATTCATAAAACGGGACACAATTTCCCCTGTAAACTGGCAACAAGTTCTTTCCTTTTTTCAGATTTTTTTTTCACTTCCTCTTCTACTTCCACCTAATCAGCTATGGTTGCGTAAAATATGCACTACTTTAAACTGTACTGGAAAAACGCAACAAAAGAGACAGAATTGTATGAAAAGGTAGCTGCTGCATAAATAAGTGGAGATAGAAGATGATTGGTGTACGTGTGGGAGTTGTCATCTTGTCCCTGTTGACATGACTGGCTTTGCATGAACATCCGCCACGTAGAGGAACTCCATCTTGAAAGGAGCTAAAAATAAGAACAGCAACACAACAACTTCGAAAAATGAGGTTGCACTTAAGTGGTGGCACTACACAGACTACGTGGGTCATAATGAGGAAACTTGCCAAGAGCTCGTCAAAGTTGGGCGAGACCCCATGATATGTTAGGGCACGACAAAGGGGAATACGTGAGGTTTGTTAAGCTTAGAAATATTTTTGGAAAAGTTGATAAGTGTTTCATTATTTGGGCTTAAATCGAAATGCTTGGTGTAGGGTGTTAGTCTAGCTAATTCTAAAAAAACCCTTATTAACATAATGATGTCCATTCAAAACGTACTCCTGATAAATTAATAAACACAGCATGGAGAACAACCTGTTGGTTATTTCTTTCTTTTTTTTAATAAACTGCTGGAAATTAATATTAGACGTGTTTCTCTTTTGTATTCCTCTTTGGTACATTTGTAAATTACTTGTAAATACATTGGGGCATAACTCACCTGCAGTAGGTTGCTCGCCAGGCCATTAAGGAACGGCAGTAATAGCCAAACCTTGGTGTGGGGACTGCTGCTACCACTGCTACTGCTGCTGCTGCTGCCGTTTGACTGTGACAGTTCGCCATCCTGGGCCTGTTGAATTAAGTGGGAATGCTAAATGGGAAGTGGATAATAAGGAAACAAAAAAGGAAAGCAAAAATATGGAATGGATGAGAAATATAGAAAAAAGAAGAGGAGAGGAAATAAACATTTGATGTGATTATTATTGCTTTTGAATGAGACACTCTCTGGTTGGGTTTTGCCCTGCAACTATAAAAAACATAATAGAACAAAACTCCCCACTCGTCCTTAATTTAAACGATGCTTATCCTTTTTCTGTTTTTCCTACTTCTTGTGGTGTTTTTTGTTAGAAAACAAATTAAAGCAACCATTAAAACAACACTCCAACGACAATCAGCTTTTACTGGAGTATAACTCAAAATAATATAACTTTGCCACTTAAATTAATTTTTTGCTTTTGCGTTTTTTTGTAAAGTTGAATGGTCCTCCACGACCAGCTCTTGTTGCGGTTGCTGTGGCAAACACACAACAAAAAAGCGTTAGAGATGCCTGACAGCAACAATAGCAAAAAAAAACGTATAAAAGCGCGAAAACCAATTTGTGCAATCGAAAAAATACAAAATAAAATGAAATGGCTGTTTGAAACTTCTCAAATATCGGAGAAATTAAATGACTTTAGTTGTTCGTCTAGGTTGATGTCCAATTTTGTTAGTCAAAGGAAGAGCTAATCGTTAAGGGGACATTTATTGGGGATATATCTAAGAAAAAATTCGGCTTGATAGATTTCACGATACAACAGCCAGTCTGGAGTGTAGGAAAGATGAGGTTTTAGCAGTTAAGTTTTCAGCTATAACAACCTTTATGCTGAAGACCGTGACCATGGCAATATTTTCCGTTATTATTCTAAAATATACGTTTTTTCATGAAAATTAAGCACTGACTGGTAATTATTTCTAGAATCCTTCGAATTTTATTTATCTATCGACCTATATATATTAATATAAATATATTTATCAGTCTACCTATCTATCATACCAACCGTCCTATATACTTCCATTGATTTATGACGATTAATCTGTCAATCTATCAATTATCTACATATTTAAATGAACTTTTACAAGAGGGTCAGTTTCGGCTGAGAAGGCTGGGTCTTTGAAAAATCTTACTAAAAGGGTACGAAAAGAACTAAAATGTACTAATTAGAGAATACTTTGTATTAGACGAACGGTCCAGTGTCCAGGATAGATGCATCATAGGGTTTTGGGAAATTCAAAATATAAGGTTACGAAAATCTCTAAAATGGTACTAAATTTCCAAAATAATACCATTTGGTATTATATGAACGGATAGAACTAAAATCGTGAAAATATCAAGAGTCAAGGTTGAAAAGTTAGTATGAGTTAGTTTCCGAAATGTGTACTAAGTGTGTAAGCTGTGCTAAATTTGGAATAGTTTAGTTAAAGGTGAATGGATAAGGATGGAATTGTGAAAATTGGTGTTGGGGTCCCTGTTAGTGGTAGGTTTGAGGATTAAATTTGATTTTGAAAATTTGTACGAGAATTACTAAATGGTAGCAAATTTAGAACGATTTGGTATTGGGTGAACAGATTTTGTATTGGGGTCACTGTTCATGTATAGCTTTGTTGTAATAATTATGCGAAGAGTACTAAATGGTTCTATAGAATACTAAATTGTACTCTGGAACACTAAATGGTACCCTAGAATACTAAATTGTACTTTGGAATACTAAATGGCAGTCTTCGTACAATTATAATACTAACTATTAGGTGAAGCGATAGAAAAAGGGATTCTCAAATTTCATATTTAAATTACTGAAGGTATCTGTATTTGAGATTTTATTCTGGTTTGGAAATGCGTCCTATATTCATACGATAATACTAAGTTGTACTCAATTCGGTATTGAGTGAATGCATATAGGGTGAGATGAAAAAACTGCAACCAAATTCAGTATGCTATCATTTTTAAGCTACTCGTCCGACAGCTGTTAAAATTATTCCAGTGACAGCTCATTATATTGTTTACAAGCGTACAAAAGCATTTTGGTGAGAATTTTCCAGAAAAAAAGGTAATCGTGATGGAATTCAAGCGCGATAGTGTGATTTCTTTATATTTGGCTGGAAAACCACAAGTGGCTATCGTTAGAGCAATCCAGCATTTAAATGTGAATAAATCTTTTGTGTCTCCTACCATCGCTCGTTACCGTGATGGTGGTAGCGTAGCCCGATGTCAAGGAAGTGGACGGAAGAAAACAGCAACATCAGCAGATATGGCTAGAAAAGTAAAGAAACGACTTGATCGAAACTCGCGTCGGAATGCCCAAAAAATGGCTCATGAGCTAAAAATATCGCAATATTCCATTCGGAATATATTGAAAAATGAGCTCGGGGTAAAGCCATTGAAATTCCAAAAAGTGCAAGAACCTGTATGATGTGGGCCGCCATAACAACCGATTTTCGCTCTCCGCTCGTATTAATCGATCGTGGCATCAGAATAAATGCGAAAATATTCTAGAGGCAAGCATATTGGCCGCAGAGCTTGGACATTCCAACAGGACTCAGCACGCTCCACCCAAGAATGGTTACAAAATGAGGTTGCCCGTTTCATTTTCAACACACAATGGCCATCAAAACCTCCGGATACCAAACCGTTGGACTAGCTTGGCACTAAAAAAATACCAAAGTGTCGATCAACTCAAGCAAGCGCTTCGCCGGGAATGGACCTATATACCGCAGAGCAACATTCGGTCCGCGTGTGACGGTTTCATTGGCCGTTTGAAGGTCATAATTCGTGCCAAAGGTGACCAATTCGAACAAATCTAAACTTATTCTAAAATTTGATGCTATATCCGACATGTTTTGCTATCATTCAATAAAATTAAAAAAATGTAACAATTTGGCGTTTGACTTTGTTGCAGTTTTTTTTTATCTCAACCTGTATATAATTCGCATATAAATTTTCCAAATCGCAGATTTAAAATACAAAATTTGTTAAAGATTGTAACTGATTGTTAACGTAACATGAAAAAGAAAAATGTATTTACAAAAAAAAAATAAATAAATAAATAATAATGATAATAATATTATTAATAATAAACACCATAAAAATCAAATCGTATAATAATTAAAAAAAGAGAAAATGAGAGAAATTATTTTAGTTTGAGTGTTGTTGTTAATAAGGAGGTCAATGATGAAACCGACCTATCATAAAAACCACGCTAAAATAAAAATTAATTTCTCTCTCATTTTATAAACTGATTTCATTAAATTTAGATGTCCCAATATTGACATCTATTTCTGAGATCTAGACATAACATTTTTATTTTTTCTTCGATTTTGGCCGGGTGGTCTTCAATTAAAAAAGTTGAAATAATGTTAAGATAATCTTTAACAAAAAAAGGTTGGCGTAAATTAAATTCTTAGATAAGATTTTCTTAATTATAGGGATATATATTCCCATTACAATTTTGAGCAAAAGAATCCTATAGACATTCCCATAAAATTCGATTAGTTAAAAATTAAAAAAGAAACAATTTTTTTATATTATTTTTTAAAAACCCAACACTAGCCCAGTGATGCTACATTATTGACTTAAGTACTAACATTATAAAATTACATTTCGAAACTGAATCGAGTGGAAACTTACCTCATCGCCTGTAAGGCTGCCGTCCACATTCGGTTGTTGTTTGCCATCGTTCTTGGGACGTTGATTGCGTTCTCGGGCATAGCTCTGTTGCTGTTTGTGACGTGTGGTTTGTGTACTGCAATGATATGTCATAAAAAATAACGAATCAAAACAACAACGACAACAAGAACAGGAACAGGAACAAACATAAAAATGTCCAAGGGAATGTACACAGCTGGAGAAGGAAACAGTTTATAAAAATGAAATACCCTACAGTGGAACAGGTGGCGGACACTGACACAGGGAATCACATATTTTTTTGGTAATAAGGGGACTTAAAATCTTATACTGTCATGGTCTCCCCTGCCTATGAAAAGTATTTCGATTATATCATATTGCAATGTGGGAAAACTTTGCAAAACGTGACATTCTCAAAATTTCGAAAAATAACTAAGTCCATGTCCTTTTTTCCAACGGAATCAACATTAAACCCACAATGTCGTAGCAAAACCTACTTCCAGCAATTAAATGAAATGCTAGACTAGGCAAAAAAAGAAATCCATAACAAACTCGAAGAACTTCCTTCTTCGGAACATGTTGAATGCTGGCGAGGGGAATGGAGACATTGCAAATGATGTATGATGGGCTGTGTGCATGTGTGTGTGTGTGCGCTCGTTCAACTTTAAACAACACTCAGACACAGGCAAACATTTACACATTTGACCAACTATGAAATATTGTTTGCGGCCAGTGGTTTGGTCAAATGCTAGATGATGCTTAAATCATTGCTCCATTGGTTTCCCAAGTGGTTTTTAAAGTTAAACTGCCCACACATCAACAGCACATTTAGTTTAACACTCGTCCTCGTAGGATGATGAGAGGGGGTGGTGGTACGAAAACGGATGGATATATGTAATTGATTTTCAACATGGAAAATTCCAAGAAAAAAATGTAACACAAAGGCTGAGTAAAAATGAGCAGAAAAAATTGTAAAACCTTTTTCAATCAAGGAAAAATATTTATGAAATTCTATGGGATTTTCCTCAAAACACGCACAAATACATAGACCTAAAATATGGTCCTACCTCAGGACTATTTTTATGGTTAATTTATTAAAAACGCTAGATTTAAGAATCGACTTTAGAAGAGAATGTGGGAGGTAAGAAAAGCTAAAGATTGAATGTTTGAGGAGCAGATTTTCTATATTTTTTCCAAAATGCCAGGATTCGTCAAAAACTTGAGGTATATAAAAACCATTGACATCCGCTTATAGTATTTTATGGGACCTATGTCACAAAGTGGACTGAAATTGTCATTTTTATACCCTACACCACATAGTGGTAAGGCTATTATATCTTTGTGAATTGGTTTGTAACATGGCGAGAGAGAGCCATAGTTACTTTTGAGGATCTTCATAGAATCACTTTTTTATTTATTATCCAATTGAGATGAAATTTTCCTAACAATATTGTTTGGCCCATGAATGAAACCTATTGAAATTGGCGAGAATCGATGTAAATTTAGATATAGCTCCGATATATACAGGGTTGCCCATATTCGACGGACACATGACTCTTTGGGCCCATTCCAATTGACGAGGCTTGTCCGCAGGCAACATTCTTTGCGTCAATTGAATTTTGTACGGGAACAAATACAAATCAATGCGAATAATCCGTTGTAAAGTGGGCCGAGCCATGCCCAACTGCTGAGAACGGCGTTTTTGGGATATTATTGGGGACCTCTCAACACTGGCTCGTACGGCAGCGATATTCTCGGCCGATCGCCTTGGTCCACTTTTATATGGCCTCTTCGGATTAGAAAGAGCCTTACCAGTCGAAATTTTTTTGTATAAACGCTTAATGGTGTTCTTAGAAGGCGCACTTCTCACATTTTTTAATGTTTTAAAAGCACGTTGAGTTTTCACAATTGACTTCTTCTGTTGAATGTAAATTTAAACTATTTCAGGGCGCTCGCGTGGCGTGTATTGGTTCATGGTAAAAATCTGCTTGGACTGACGCCTCAAACGCGGTATGTCATTAAGCGATGTGACATCTCTGTCAAAAGTTATGTCGTTGCCAGATGGGTCCGTCGATATGGACAACCCTGTATCTTCAAATGATTTCGGGCTAATTGTGCACCAAATGGCCAATATCAGTCCAAATGACCTGAATTTTGGTATATCCCACCGAATTTAGTCTGGAAGCATGTACATCACTTGTGGTGAAAATCGGCTCAGATATAGCCATAGCTTCCATATATATGTTTCATCCGATTTGGTCTTTAAGTTCCTCACATTCGTAATATGCACTTCACAATAATTATATTTTGTACCAGATATCTTATGGATCTCGCAAATACCTTTGCCAAATTTTATTGAGATTGGCTCAGATTTGGTTATAACTCCAAAATATATCCTTAATCCGATTTTAGGTTTTTTTGTGCAAATAATGGCTAATATCAGCTCAAATGGAGTGAATTTCAGGACTTAATTTTCCATTTAGTAGAACTCGGCTCCGATACATATATTTTTATACCCTCCATCATACTATGGAGGGTATATTAATTTTGTCATTCCGTTTGTAACTCCTCGAAATACTCACGTCAGACCCAGCAAAGTATATATATTCTTGATCAGCGTAAAATTCTAAGACGATTTAGCCATGTCCGTCTGTCTGTCTGTTGTAATCACGCTATCTTTCGAACAAATTGAGATAGAAGGCTAAAATTTTGCACTCATGTATATTTTGCCAGTAGGCAGGTTAAGTTCGTAAATAGGCCATGTAGGTCCAAGTTATCATATAGCCCCCATATAACGGTACCTCCCGATATTCGGTATTTTGATGATTTTAGAGACATTATTTACCGGAATTATTTCAAATTTGGTATTTGAAGTTCGAAATAGATACTACATCCTAACCCAGAAAATGAGCCATGTAGGTCCACGCCTTTGTATAGCCTCCAAATAACGATACCTCCCGATATTCGGTATTTTGATGATTTTAGCGACATTATTTACCGGAATTGTTTCAAAATTGGTATTTAAAGTTCGTAGTAGATACTACGGCTAAAGACAGAAAATGGGCCATGTAGGTCCACGTCTTCGTATAGCCCCCCAATAACGGTACCCCCCCATATTCGGCATTTTGATGATTTTAGCGACATTAATTATACGAATTGTTTCAGTTTTGGTATTTGATGTTCGTAATGGATACCACATCTAAGGACAGAAAATGAACCATGTAGGTCCACGTCTTCGTATAGCCCCCATATAACGGTACCCCCCGATATTCTGTATTTTGATGATTTTAGCGACATTGTTTACCGGAACTATTTCAAATTTGGTATTTGAAGTTTGTAATGGATACTACAGCCTATGACAGAAAATTGTCTGTGCAGGTCCACGGGGTTTACAACCCCCATGGTACCTCCATATATTCGGTATTTTGGCGATTTTAGCTACATTATAAACATATTTTTTTCCAAGTTTCTCATTTGAATATTGTAATAGCTTGTGACAAAATTTGCCTATGCAGGACCACGTCGTCGTATAGACCCTAATATACGGCTACATTCGGTAGTTTTAAGATTTTAATAGAATTTTGAACGGATTTTATTTTTTTGAAAATTGTTAAATTTTTACCAAATGGTGAAGGGTATTCAACTTTTTTACTTGTTTAATATTTATAAACCTTCTGAAAGTCAGTACATGTACTCTATGTCAATGATATTTGTTACAAAAGGTCAGATAACGCAGAATTGCCCATCCAATTTCGAATTTTAAATTCTTAACATCAAATGTTTCTGTTAAATATGCAGCAACAATTTTGCAAAGGTATACCAGAAATACATTTCAAATATTTCGGGGTTCCCAACTAGTAAAAAGTAAACCTTTGCTTGTAAAACATACAAAAAGTGGAAAAAGTTGCTATTCAGTGGAACAGAGACCCTACGAATACGTACGTCTATAATGTAGAGTATCATATAGTCGGTTCTACTCGACTTTCGTCCTTTCCCAACTAGTTACTTACCTATTCGTTGGTGCCATTATTTCAGCAGCCTCCATTGAATCATCTCCACTACCTTCCGGAAGCATATTTTCTGGATAAAAGGAACAAAAACAAATTAAGAAATTTTCATTATTATTTTTTTGCATCGTTATTGTTGTTATTACTGTTAAAATTATTATCGTCATTATTATTATTATTATTTTTTTATTTATTTATTTATTTATTTATTTTTTTTTTTTGACAAAAAATAACCCTACCTTGTTGCTGCTCCAAATCCTCCTGCCGTTGTCCAGGTTTAGCCTTAACATCCACCGTTATGTCCGCACTTGATGGTCCCGCCTCACACGAATACACCCCCGCATCGCGGAATGTTATATTCAAGATATGCAAAGCTCCCTTTTTGGACACTCTAAACTTTTTACTCTTCTCCAGCGGTTTACCATCTTTGTTCCATTTAATTTTCGCTCGATCATAACCTTTGACATGACATTTTATTTTCACCTGGGTGCCAAAAAATACCACAGCCGCTCCTCCAATATTCAGTGTAACTTTCGTTTTCCTGGGATCATGTTGTATATGCGTTGTATTGCTTATCTCAATAACCGGTTTGGGTTCTTCAGCCGGACAAGGTCTTATGTTGCATGGCTTCTTTTCCGGTGGCTTGCCACTGGCACACATTATCTCCGGTCTTTCCAATTTATGTTCCTGGGCCATAACCTGTTTACACTCGACCTTACGTTCCTTGATGCCATAGCCACAGGTGTGGGAACATTTGGACCACTCGCCTACCTCCCAGCGCACAGGGCAATCAAGGACATTGCAGTATTGACGATCTGCTGGTGGGGGTTGAGGACACATACTGTTCGGCACCACCATGGCATTATCGCCACCTCGCGTTACCTCATGAACACACTGGACCTCTCGTGTTTTTATGCCTATGCCACAAGTTTTCGAGCAAGGTGTAAATTCGGTATAATTCCATCGAGGCGGGCAAGGACGATCGTTACATGTTCGTATTCGTGCCTCCGGCTTTGTTTCTGGAGAACACAAAAATGGCGATACCACTCGTCCATTATCCTCACGCACACAATTAATGATGAGTTCCTCAACACCACCCAAACAACTGCCACTGCACGAGGTATAACCCTGCTCACGCCACACATAGGTCTTTCCCGGCTCCGAGACACCCACTTTAATCGAATCACGATGATATGGTTCCTCATAACCATGCGAAGGCATAACACAGGGTTCTTCTACACAACGCTCGACCTCATCGTGGGGTTTCTTGCCCTCACACATCGTGTCGTTAATGGTGGCCAATGTCCGGGAAAATTGCAAGAAAATTTTGCATTTATAGGTGCGCCGACGTATTCCCACGCCACAGGTGACACTGCAGGGTGACCAGTCGGGGTCTTTCATGTAACTGTAAATGGAGAATAAGGGAAGTTTTTACAATATAAAATGGGAAGATGTAAACAACGGAAAGTTTCAGTTTAAAGAGATAGGTCCAAAGACCCTCTATAGAAGATCTATCGATGGAGTAGAACAATATTGTCCATTCCATAGTATAAGGTTGTTTCAAGTTGCCTCATGTTTTTATACCCTCCACCATACTATGGAGGGTATATTAAATTTGTCATTCCGTTTGTAACTCCTCGAAATACTCATGTCAGACCCAACAAAGTATATATATTCTTGATCAGCGTAAAATTCTAAGTCGATTTAGCGATGTCCGTCTTTCTGTCTGTCCGTCTGTTTGTCTGTCTGTTGTAATCACGCTATCTTTTGAATGAATAGAGATAGATGGCTAAAATTTTGCACACATGTTTATTTTTCCAGTAGGAAGGTTAAGTTCGTAAATGGGCCATGTAGGTCCACGTTTTCATATAGCCCCCATATAACGTCACCTCCCTATATTCGGTATTTTGATAATTTTAGCGACATTATTCACGGGAATTGTTTCAAATTTGGTATTTGAAGTTCAAAATGGATACTACACCCTAAGACGGAAAATTGTCTATGCAGGTCCACGTCTTCATATAGCCCCCATATAACGGTACCTCCCGATATTCGGTATTTTGATGATTTTAGCGACATTATTCACCGGAATTGTTTCAAAATTGGTATTTGAAGTATGTTATGGGAACTACAGTCTGTGGCAGAAAATTGTCTATGCTCGTCCAGGTCTTCGCACAGCTCCAATTTAACGCACCTCCTTATATACGATATTTTGATGATTTTAGCTACATTATTCACCGTTTATTTCAAGTTTCGAATTTGAATATGGTAATGGCTTATGACAAACAATGCCTATGTATGTCCACGTCGTATAGACCCCAATATAACGGCTATATTCAGTATTTTTAAAATTTTAACAAAATTTTTTAAGGATTTTATTTTTTAAAAATTTTCAAATTCGTTGCAAATGGTGGAGGGTATTTAAAGTTCGGCCCGGCCGAACTTACTGCTTTTTAACTTGTTTTTATTCAAAATATTGATCCGTTGTGGGTAAGGTATTAGAAGAGATTCAAAATTTTGACGTTTGTGGAGGAGGTACCAGAAGGTGTGAGCCGGCCCATTTTCACACCCTATCTTGTAATGGTTAAAATATTGGGATGTGCTAAATTTAAAGAAAATCTGAGGCATATATCGCATTTTATGAGCGGTTTAAATATTTCAAATGTTGAACCTTTGTAGGGAAGGTATTCAGTGTAGTCCGATATATCCCATCTTTACTTCAGATCTTGTTTTGGTAAAGATATTGGGATGTGCGAAGTTTAAAAATAATCGAATGCTTATTTCGCATTTTATGAGCGTTTTAGTTATTCAAAATTTTGACCCTTTGTGTGAAAAGTACTAGAAGGAGTGATGCCCTATACCCCATCTTTACACCAGATTTTGTAATGGTAAAAATATTGGTATATGTGAAATTTAAAGGGAATCTATAGTATATTTCGAATTTTATGAGCGTTTTAGATATTCCTTTGTGGGGGAGATACTGGAATCCTTTGTGGGGGAGGTACTTGAAGGAGTAGTCCGATCTGGTCAATTCTCGCATACGATCTTGCGGTAATGCAAATAACACGATTCGCAAAATTTGAATAAAATCCGACTATCCGTTCTCTTCTTATGCGGTAAATTATTTGGTAGGAAAATTTTGAACTTATGTGGGGGAGGTACCAGAAACAGTGGACAGATGTTGCCCAACTCCGAACTCAATCTAAATTTGAAAAATAAAAAAAAAAAATTCGATATGATGGCTATGCGCGCCCCAGCCGCACAGACGGGCGAACATCGTTAAATCGCCTCCAAATGTCTTGAAACGGATTTGGTTCAAAGAGACCAAGGGTGTAAAACAGTTATTTCGACTAGGCACGTTTTGGCCTTATCAAATAATATATACCCTCTCTAGTCATATGTCTGAGAGTATAAAAAAGTATCAGATTGGTATTTAGTATAAGATAGGATTTTAGATTTTTTTTTAAATAATCCAGACCATTTTGAAACAAATTTTTAAAGTCAAAGAAAAAAATTCCGCAATTAAAAAAAAAAAATGGGTATATGTGGCTCTTATTTCCTATTTATATTTTCAAGGCATCGATACATTTTTATGACATCCTTTTATTTATGTAAAAAATTTGTGTAAAAGGTTTTATAAATGGATCCAAATATGAAGTATTCAAGACTAATTTTTGAGGCCAAAAAGAAAATAATTGCACTATTTTAAGAGGAATTTATTTTTAGATGTATTTGTATTTTATTTTTTTAAGATACAGATATTTATGGACATATATTAATTTATAGGAAATTAGGGCTAATTAAGTATTGTCAGTGCCTCACTTAGAAAATATTTGAAGATTTAGACAAATATTTAAAGGAAAATTTCAAAACAGTTGAAGAGGTATTCAAAATGTTTTCAAGGTCTTTAGTTTCTATTTTTGCAATTTCTTTTAATTTATTCATGAGTTTCTTCCGAGAAAAAAATACAAATTCATGGGTTCCGTTTTGTCCTACATGTACTTGATACTTGATTATTTTATTTTTCTTTTTCAATTTAGTTTTTTCTTTACGAAATAGTGTTTCGATTCAATTTTTCGTTGACCTTTGAAACCTGTAATTCCTAATGGCATCAAATTGCTTGTCATTTTCTACAAATGACGGACATAAGTGACAGCTGCTATTTTCGATTGAATGACATTGAGTTAATGGATAATTTGAATGTTTTTTTTTTTTGTTTTGCTTTTTTTTACCAGAAGAATACAAAAGAAAATGGAAAAATAATAAAACAAATACTACAGGAGTCAAAAACTATAATTAACCTTAATTGCAAGCGAGAACAAGGCGGGTAATTTGTGAAATGGGGGTGTTTGTGGGTTGGTGTTTTTGTTAACACCACCCACACCAACGCGTTGGTCATTTATGAATATTTTTGGGTATTATACTTAAGTAAAATGTGGAAAAATACTAATTTCAAAGTTCAAATGTTAGGGGCAATTCATGTGTGTCGAATTGGTTTTCTGATTTTTAAATGAGCCAGAATTTATTGAAAATAAAAAAAAAACATGGCAAAGAAAGCCACCAAAGCTATGTGTATATTTAAAACGTTTTGGTTTAATTGCCAAAAATTCATAAAAAAACAAGGGAACTGATGAGGATTGGTGGCTCTTTCCAAAACCTAGGTATTCCCTGCCTTACCCCCTGGTAAACATTACCATCGTTCTCCACTAATAAACAAACGTTGTTTTTATAAAAACAACAATAAAGGGATAAGCCTGACCATTTTGTAACAACAAAATACTACGGTATCCCGAACAAACAAGCCACACTGTTCTAGAAAATCGTTTCGTAAAATGGAAAATTAAAATTGGAAAAGCTAATTGGAATGACTGTTTCTATTTCCAACTTCCTTTGAAATACTTAGCCAGACCTAAATAAATTTAAATGAACGTACCACAGGGCGTATGAGTTGCATGAACTTCTCTATGCTCTCTTTAAAAAAAAATTCATTTAAATACCTTATAATCCCAAAGCCTAACACACAATATTCAACTACTTTCCACCACATCATCTTGCATCGCCGATTTTTCTCATGAATTTCCAACGAATCATTAATTATCCAATAATCCCCAAAACTAATTGGAAAATTAATACAACGCCATCTCATCAACACATTTCCAATGAATTATTTAAATTTCGAATTAGCAAGTTTAGCACTTACGTCGGTTCGGATGGCATTGCTTCGTCGGAATTATAACGTCCAGAGGATTGTAAGCGCATCATTTGTGGCCCATCAGGCTCTTCGTGATGAAACCGGCTCATGCGATGATGCAAATAGACGGGTTGATTGCCAAAGAATGTATCATCGGCATAATCATCGATATCCGAATCATCGTCGACCACATCATCGTCATCATCAGCTAGATTATCATCATCGTGGGCATTTAGCAATTTATGGTCCATTTTTAAAGAGACCTGTAATTAAATGAAAAAAAAAACATAATTTTTAATTTTCAAAAGTGTGACTTAATTTTTAATTTATTAAATTCCAATTAATTTAAATAACTACTCATTTTAATTTTTAATAACATAATTACATTTGATATTAATAAATAATTATTTTAGAATAATATTAAAACTCACCCTAGAATTCAACACTGAATCCGATTCACAACGCAGTCCTGTTGTGCAGCTTTGTACACTGGCCGGTTTTGTTAGGGGATCGCATTTGTCACTCAGACCTCCGTCAGCAGCACTACACTCAACATTACGTATCTGTATTCCTTCGCCACAGGATTCGGAGCACTTTTTCAGGAAAAAATAAAATTAAAATAATAATGAGAGTTACTTGGCGGCAAAGTGGTCAGAAAATCAAGTTAAAGGGTATCAATCGGGTTTGCCGACAGATTGATAACCTCAGCTTTTATCCGTTTATACTAATATTTTTTGAAACAGTGTTGGCTTGTTTGTTCTGGATACCATAGTATTTTGTTGTTGCAAAATGGTCAGGCTTTTAGAACGATGGTACCAGGAGAATTTATTTAGAAATTATTTTTTTAAATATCTTCTGGGGAGAATTTCCCAGACTAAAAACAAGGGAACTGATGAAGATTGGTAGCTCTTTCCGAATCCTAGGTATTCCCTGCCTTACCCCTGGTAAACATTACCATCGTTCTCCACTAATAAACAAACGTTGTTTTTATAAAAAAACTACAATAAAGGGATTGAGCCTGACTTATATTTTTTGATATATTTTATTATTATTCAAAATATTGACCCTCATATTCCTTCTTATTCAAAATTTTGACATTTGTTAAGGAGGTACCAGAAGCTGTAAGCCGGTATATCTTATTTTCACACCCTATCTTGTAATGGTTAAAATATTGGGATGTGCGAAATTTAAAGAAAATCTGATGCATTTTTCGCATTTTATGAGCGTTTTAGATATTCAAAATTTTGACCCTTTGGGGGGAAGGTATTCAAATGAGTATATCCCTTCATTATAACATACATTGTTTTGGTAGATATCGTGGGATGTGCGAAGTTTAAAAATAATCAAATGCTTATTTCGCATTTTATGATCGTTTTGGTTACTGAAAATGTTGACCCTTTGTGGGGGAGGTACAGGAAGGAGAGGTCCGACATACTCCATCTTTACACCAGATTTTGTAGTAGTAATGATATTGGTATTTGTGAGATTTGAAGAGAATCAGCTGTATATTTCACCCTTTGGACCCTTTGTGGGGAAGGTATTCGAAGGAGTATATTCCTTCTTTACATCAGATATTGTTTTGGTAGAAATATTGGGATGTTCGAAGTTTGAAAGTAAACGATTGCTTATTTCGCATTTTATGAGCGTTTTGGTTATTGAAAATTTTGACCCTTTGTGGGGGAGTTACTAAAAGGAGTAGTCCAATAGTGACCATCCTCGCACCCACGATCCTCGCATCACGATTTGCGGAGTTTGAACAAAATCTGATTATCCTTTCTCTTCACATGCGGTAAATTATTTTCTATGAAAGTTTTAAACTTTTGCTTAGGAGGTACCAGAAGGAGTAGACTGATGTTGCCAATCTTCGTACTCGATCTAAGTTTGACAAAAATTTCACGATGTACCTAGTTTGGACCAAATTGGATACTCCCTTTGAGAGTTATCGTGTGCATCAGCCAGACAGACGGACATGGCTTGATCGACTCCAAATATCCCGAAACGGCTTTGGTCCAAAGGGGCCTATGGTCTAAAACCGTTCTTTCGATGAGACACGTTTTGGCCATATCAAATAAAATATACCCTCCGTAGCCATATGGCTGAGGGCATAATAATATAAAATAGAATCACGAACGAACTATGAGGAGTCCAATATGTTTTACATTTTTTAAATCGCATAAATATTATTGTTTGAATTTTCTGAGCCATGGAAAATTAATCACATCCTGACACTACTGTGTTATGGAGGATCAACAAAGAGGAGACAAGTTTCCTGGCGTTTTTCCCCATGATTCGCGCTTAAGTAGCAATCTTTGGTACCAGATTTTAGGTACCACATATTTTTCCTTTAAGTACTTGGGTGTACGAATTGTCAAACGTCCCATTCAACAAAATTTTCATTATCACAACTGTAGTGCTAAATTACTTTTACGACTTTTTACATCTCGCAATACGATTTTCTAACGACCTTGCCAGTACAGAGATCTCAAAATTTGAACTTTTCGCGATCATTTAACATCAGGGTATCTCGTTTAGTCTTTGCTTTTACGGACTCATTTCTATATAAATTACAATATACCGGAAGTAAAACAGGTTAAGAGAAGTACTTACCGTTGACCACTTTTCCACTTTCCATTTAGGACATTCGGTAATAATACATTGCTCTTGCATGGGCGGCTTTGGTTTGGGGCATAACATGTCTGCAACCTGCGGCAAAGGGAAAAAAGAAAAACAAAATCCAAACCATTTAAATTAAGAAGTTAATTTAATATTTTTAATGATTTTAAATCAAGTCGAACTCCCGTAAAAAAATCCTAAACATAATTTTTGGCAATGAAAAAATAAACAAGTTAAAAAGCAGTAAGTTCGGCCGGGCCGAACTTTGAATACCCTCCACCATTTGGAACTAATTTGGAAATTTAAAAAAAAAAATAAAATCCTTAAAAAATTCTGTTAAATTTTAAAAATACCGAATATTGCTGTTATATTGGGGTCTATACGGAGTGGACCTACATAGGCATTGTTTCCATTAGCCATTACCATATTTAAATTCGAAATTTGAAATAAACGGTGAATAATGTAGATAAAATCATCAAAATATCGTATATAGGGAGGTACCGTTATATCGGAGCTGTGCGAAAACCTGGACCTGCATAGACAATTTTCTGTCACAGGCTGTAGCATCCATTGCAAAGTTCAAATAACACATTTCAAACAATTTCGGTGGGTATTGTACCTAAAATCGGCAAAATAGGGAGGTACTGATATATGGGGCCTATACAAAGACCTGGACCTGCATAGACATTTTTCTGTCACAGACTGTAGTTCCAATTACGAACTCAAAATACGTAATTTGAGACAATTCCGGTGAATAATGGCGCTAATATCATCAAAATACCGAATATTGGGAAGTACCCTTATATGGGGGATATACGAAGACCTGGACCTGCATAGACATTTTTCTGTCACAGACTGTAGTTCCCGTTAGGAACTCTAAATACGTAATTTGAAACAATTCCGGTGAATAATAGAGCTAAAATCATCGAAATACCGTATTTTGGGAGTTACAGACGGACATTGCTAAATCGACTTAGAATTTTACGCTGATCAAGAATATATATATACTTTGTTGGGTCTGACATGAGTATTTCGAGAAGTTACAAATGGAATAACAAAGTTAATATACCCTCCATAGTATGGTGGAGGGTATAAAAATATATCCTTACTCAAACCATTACAAAACATTTTTTATTTGCAAATCTTTTTTTTCTAATCTTTCACGCCACAGAGAAGTTCGACTGTTGTTCTGCATATTTTTTTTTTTTTAGATTAATATAACCATTACATTTTTTTGTAGATTAAACTTACTCTAGTTTTTATGCCATTGTTTTCTTCGGCACAAACTACCATACGGGAACGCATTCCTGGGCCGCATGACCGGTCACAAGTACTCCAGTTGTCCGCAATCCATCTGAAATCGAAAAAAAAAATATTTTATTTCGATATTCTAGCGAAAATTAATTGAAATTCAAATTATTTTTGATTAAATTTTTCTTTTCCCTCAAACAGCAATACCTAAAAATTGCAACTGTTTGTCTTTGTGACTTATTGTTAAAATGGAAAGTTTTTGATGAGGTTTCTGGTTCCATAGAATCCTGTCATTAATTTAAATATTCCCATTGAAGTAATAAAGTAATAGGTTTTTTTCTAAAATACCTTTTACCCCAGGATTTACTGTTGACCCACTTACTTTTCTCTCAGTGCATTTACTGCAAACATCCGACATAAAATATTAATTTAGCTCTGAGATTTAAATTTGTTGGTTACTGGCTGGCATTGTTTGTCTTTTTTTTTGTTTTTTTTTTTTTTTTTTGTGGAACTTTAATTACACCGAAAACTCTATCTAAAACATTAAATTGCATTTTGTGGCCTGTGTATCCTGTAAAATAAAACAACAACAGCAAAGAAGAGAACAAAATGCCAAACACACACACTGTAACCAAACAAACTGACGAAAACATTTCTCTGTTCTGTTAAATTGAAAAGAAAATATCTCACATGCACACGTGGCAATCTTAAGCGAACCTAACCACTTGAAGAAAATTCCCTAACCAAAAAGTTTACTTTCCCTCGCTTCCCTTGTCACACTGAGATGAACTTTCCCATTAGTATTCTCCTTCTGGTTTCGCCACGCATTCCCCCAACTGCCATCTGGAGACACATAAAGTTAAACTTTGTTTACATTTACTTACCGGGGCGGACAGGTGTGTGTGTTGCACAATTCCACTGACGGTTCGGGACGATTAGCTGCATTGCAAAGGGTATCATCCACTTCGGAGCCAGTCATACGACTGCGGCACACAATACGTGGCATTTTATAGCCTGAATGCAGGACGAGAAAGAGGAGGAAATTGTAATAAAGAAAAGGAAAAGAAATAAATATATATATATAGTAAGGGGCAAAATATTGTACAGAAATAATAATGAACATATCAGGAAGGATCGATCGAACTGCCGACTAAAGAAATCTAGGATTTCATGTCATGAAGTTCTTGACAAAAACTTTAGTAAAAATTTAAATTTTTTGGCCAATGAAGATTTTGGATAAAATCAGACTCATGTTGCTAGGAAGTCGTTAAACTGGTGATCTACGATTTTGTGGCATGAATCTAACGAAAAATATTTTGAAATCATACGATTTTCTGCCTGAAGGTCCTTGAAAAAATATAATTTTTACCCGTAATTTCTTGAAAGAATTCTCCTACAAACAGCTAGATGTTTGATCAGAAAGTCCTGGAAATTTTTAAAAGACCCTCGAATTGTACAAGATTTTTTTAGACAAAAAATCATAAAAAGTCCTTGAAAGGATTTTAAAAATTCAAAATTTTTTCCTTAAAAATCCACAATTTTCAGCCAGGAAGCCCTGGAAAACACATATTAAAAAATCATGAATTTTGGCAGGAATTTCTGAAACTAAAGGACTTAAAAAAAAAAACAAATTATAAAAACTTGAAATTTTTTTCCTTAGAGTGTCTCTTTAGAAAGAACTCTATTTTCGGTCAGGAAGTCCTTGCCAGGAAGAAAATTTATCCTTTAAAAATACATTATTCAGTTAAGAGGTATTTAAAAAACAAACTTAAAAAATCCCCGGCTTTTGCCAAAAAGATGTTAAAAAATAATTCTGCCAGAAAGTCCTGGCAAAAATCTTTAAAACTTCTTCCCAGTAAATTTAAGAAAACATATTTATAACAAGTTAAAAAATAATAAGTTCGGCCGGGTCGAACTTTGAATACCCTCCACTATTTAGAAACATTTGGAATCTTCAAAAAAAAAAAAAAAACTATCGCAGGCTATAGCACCCTTTTCGAAGTGCAAATACGAACTTAGAAACAAATTCCGGAGAAAATCTAGCTAAAATCATCAAAATATAGGGGGGAACCAATATTTATGGGCTATACGAAGCCCTGGGCCTGCATATACAATTTTCTGTCATAGACTGTTGTACCCATTAGGAACTTCAAATTCGAAATTTGAAACAATTCGGGTAAATAAAATCATCAAAATATCGAATATCGGAAGATACCCTTATATGGGGGCTATACGAACACGTGGACCTGCAGAGACAGTTTTCAGTCATAGGCTGCAGTATTTATTACGAACTTCAAGTACCAAATTTGAAACAATTCCGGTAACTAATGTCGCTTAAATCACCAAAATATTGAAAATAGGGAGGTACGATTATATGGGAACTATATGAAGACGTGGATCTGCAGAAGCAATTTTCTGTCTTAGTCTGTAGTTTTCATTACGAAATTTAAGTGACAAATTTGAAACAATTCCGGTGAATAATGTCACTTAAATCACTAAAATACCGAATATCGGGAGGTACCGTTATAGGGGAGCTGTTCGAAGGCGTGGACCTGAAGAGACAATTTTCTGTCATAGATTGTAGAACTTATTAGGAACTTCAAATACGAAATTTGAAACAACTCCGGCGGATAATGTCGCTAAAATCATCAAAATACCGAAAATAGGGAGGTACCGTTATATGGGAGTTATACGAAGACGTGAACCTGCACAGACAATTTTCTGTCTTAGGCTGTAGTATTTATTATGAACTTCAAGTACCAAATTTGAAACAATTCCGGCGAACAATGTCGCTTAAATAACCAAAATACCGAAGATATGGAGGTACCGTTATATGGGGACTATACCAAAACGTGAACCTACCTCACCCATTTTCAATACCAAAAGTCATGCAGACCAAACGCACATCGGAGTGATATTTTATTAATCTACTTCATTTCGTTTAAAAGCTTGAGTGATTTCCACAGACGGACAAACGAACGGACGGTCTTCATGAAACCGACGTAGAATTTTATGCTGATCAAGAGTACATATACTTTGTGGAGTCTAAAATGTAGATTTCGAGGTGTTACAAACGGACTGACAAATTTAATATACCCTCCATACTATGGTGGAGGGTATAAAAAGGCATGATATTGGTTGTGGAGGTTCCTGAAAACGTTCTATAGAACCCCACGTTCTTTGAAGGAAAGGCCTGAAAAAATCGTTAAAACTTACGCAATATTCAGTCCAGATGTCTTAAAACAATTCTTAAAAGTAATTCATATTATTATGCCAGGACGTTCTTGAAAGAATATTCTTGAAAACTACACCCTTTCACAAATTCTAAATTCTTCATTATTTTGATATTACTTCTGCCTACGCCCATGCCCAATTTTTTCATTGCATCCCACACTTCCTTCACATCATTATCGATAAAAAAATCGATCATAACTTCATTTTTTTGTCGCTCATATCCCCCACTGACAAATCATTCTGTGATTTGCTACGCAAATTATCCTGCCGCGTCGGAGGGGGAAATGAGATACTTTTCCATTTCATACAAAATTATAGAAAAGTGTGTGTGTGTGTTTTTTGAAGTCGTCACAATAAAGTCAGACAGACAATCTCACGAGACTGAAATAGTATTCCAATATATTTTTTGTTTTTGTTGTTGTTTTCGATACACCATATCGTTGAACAACATGACATTATGTCACATCATATCGACATGAGATTTTGATGGAGTCTCACTGATTGGCCATGAAATACTGGCAATAAAAAGAAAACAAGAAAAAAATAAAAACAAACGGAAATGCGAAATAAGGCAACATCCCAAGGAGAACAAAAAAAAAAACAACAAAGCAAATCAAATATAAAATCGAATGCTCTTCTCGTTCTCGTAGACAGACCATCCGAACGACATAAACCACTTACCACCACCACAGGAGACAGTGCACAAGGACACCGGTACCAGTTCCCATTGGTAAAGCGTTGGCGAACAGGAGCTGCCGTTGCCGCCACAAATGCCGCAAATGTCAAGCTTTTTTGTCGAGCCAATTTTCAAGTCACAGCCAACGCGCTAAAAAACAAAAACAAGAAGAGAATGAAACAGGAGGAGAGGAAGAAGAAGTAGAAAAAATATAGACTTTGGTTTTGTTATGGTTAAAATATTGTGTTTTATGAGGAAGTCAGGCGGCTGCATTTGGGTGAGAAGGGAGGTTGGGTGGCTGGCTGGCTGGCTTGTTTGGTGACAGTGTAACCACAAACCAAACAAGGCAACAGCAACAAAAAATGACAAGAAAATAAAATAAATATTTAAATTGGTTTCAAGTATCGCCGTAATACAGGTATTTATTTTTATGTCTTCGTGGCTTCTATTTTTTGTTGTCGTCGTTTGTTGTTGTTGTTGTTTTTGCCATCTTATTAGACAAAATTGTATTGGTAATGGTCTATTAGAACAAAAACTTATTCATGACCATAAACAAAGGGATATTTCATGGGATTTTATGGAGACAATAGGAAATGAAATTATTATAGTTAGTTTGTAGTCACAAAAGTCTTAGTTTGAAATAATACTTTGACTTTCGATTGATCGAATTTTCACTTTGAAAAGTCTTAAACACGTAGTCAGTTTTTGTCGAAAAATCGCATTTCGGATTTTCATAATCGATTTTCGATCCTGCAATCATAAGTTTTGGGTCGGCTTTTAATTTTACAAGTTAAAAAAGTATCAGTCGGTTTTGCCAACAGATGTATACCCTCAGTCGATGTTCGATTATTTAAATACATTTTTTTGTTCCGAAGGAATGGGCCAATATTTTCCACTTCGTATCCGACCTAAATAAATGTGATATAAATATTGCGAGGTGCCTGGTACGGTCTATATCAAATTTTCCTTTTTAAAAAAATGTTAAAATGTGCGTGACCGACCGTGCGTATAGTCGACTGAAGTATTCCATTTTCATGCTTCATAAAAATATTGGTATGGCCAAAATTATAAGAAAATCGAAATTTTTATATCCAATTTTATGCGAAATCATAAATTCCATATTCATATCAGCTTTCCGGTCGAGATAAATATTTGATATAGCAAGTTGTAAAGAATCGCTGACTTGTTTCGCAAGTTATGATATTAACAAGTAAAAAAACATTAAGTTCGGCCGGGCCAAACTTTTAATACCCTCCACCTTACGGTAAAAGAAACATTAGAAGAAATGTGGCAAAAACCATTAAAATGCCGAATATCGGGAGGTACCGTTATATGGGGGCTACACCAAAACGTGGACCTATAATTACAATGTTTCGCCACACGAACTAGGACCCATTATAATCCACAAATACAAATTTTTAGACAAATCAGTGAAAAAATGTGGCAAAAACCATCAAAATACCGAATATCGGGAGGTGCCGAAATATGGGGGCTATATCAAATCATGGACCCATGCATGCAATGTTTCGCCACCGGAGCTGGAACCCATTATGACCAACAAATACCAATTTTCAGACAAATCCGTGAAAAAATGTGGCATTAATCATCAAATTACCGAATATCGGGAGGTACCTTTATATGGGGGCTATACCAAAACGTGGACCTATACATGCAATGTTTTGCCACACGCACAGGGACCCGTTATGACCTACAAATACCAAATTTCAAACAAATCCGTGAAAAAATGTGGCATAAATCATCAAAATACCGAATATCGGGAGGTACCGTTATATGGGGACTATATCAGAACGTGGACCGATATATCTCATTTTCAATACCAACCATCCTAGACACAATGCGAATTGCTCTGCAAAATTTTGGCGCTCTACGTCAAATACTGTGGGCTGTACCGTGATTTCAACAGACAGACGGACAGACAGACGGACATTGTTAAATCGACTTAGAATTTGGTTATGAATATATATACTTTATGGGGTCTACGACGAATATTTAAGGATGTTACAAACGGAATGACAAAGTTAATATACCCTCCTTACCAAGATGGATGGTATAAAAATGTTGACCAGCTGGGGGGTAGGTACTAGAAGGAGTGGTCCGATATATCTCATTTTCACTCCAGACCTTGGGTTAATAAAAACATTGTGTTGTGTGTAATTTGAAGAGAATTGGATGATAACATCGGATTTTATGATCGTTTTGGTTATCTAAAACTTTGACCCTGTGTGGAGACCAAGTGAGGTACCAGAAGGAATGGTTCGATCTCTACCATCTTTATAACAGATCTTGTGTTGATAGAAATACAGGTGAGATGAAACCAACTGCAACCAACCAACCGACTGCTGTCATATCTAAGCCATTCGCCCGACGGCTGTTAAAATTATTCCAGTGACAGCTTATTATATTGTTTACAAGCGTTCAAAAGAATTATCCAGAAAAAAAGTTATTCGTGATGTAATTCGAGGATGATAGTGTGATTTTTTTATATTTGTCTGGAAAACCACAAATGGCATCGTTAGAGCACTCCAGCATGTAAATGTGAATAAATATTTTGTGTCTCGTACCATCGCTGGTTACCGTGATACTGGTAGTGTAGCCCGACGTCAAGGAAGTGGGCGGAAGAAAACAGCAGCATCAGCAGAAATGGTTCTAAAAGTAAAGAAGCCACTTGATCGAAACTAGCGTCGCAGTGGCCGAAAAATAGCTCGTGAGCTGAACATATCGCAATATTCCATTGGGAATATGAGCTCGGGGTAAAGCCCTTGAAATTCCAAAAAGTGCAAGAACTTATACCGCTACTTAAAGAAAATAAACTCAAATGAGCTAAACAGTTGCTTCGCTTGACCGAAAGTGATGAACTGCCGAATTTGGTTTTTTCCGATGAGAAAACATTCGTAGTCCAGCAGTTTGTAAAAAAACAAAATTAGTGTGTTTACTTGCCAAAGAGGTCAGCTGAAAATGTGCACCTTCGGTTGGCCACCAGAACTCAAGCTGCCGGCCATGGTGATGGTGTGGGCTGCCATAACAGCCGATGGGCATCAGAATAAATGCCGAATATTATCGCGAAAAATATTCTGGAGTGTGTATTAATGCCTTGGGCACGTAAACATTTTGGGCGCAGACCTTGGACATTCCAACAGGACTCAGCACCATCGCAATCAGCACACGCCACCCAAGAATGAATACAAAATGAGGTTTCTCGTTTCATTTCCAGCGCACAATGGCCACCAAAATTGCCGGATACTAATCCGTTGGACTATTATGTCTGGAGTATTTTGGAAAGCAAGGTTGACACTAAAAATACCAAAGTGTCGATCACCTCAAGCAAGCGCTTCGCCGGGAATGGGCCAAAATAACGCAGAGCAACATTCGGCAGCGTGTGACGGTTTCATTGGCCGTTTGAAGGCCATAATTCGTGCCAAAGGTGACCAATTCGAACAAATCTAAACTTATTCTAAAATTTGATGCTATTTCCGACATTTTTTGCTTTCATTCAATAAAATGAATGAAAATAGAAAAATGTAAAAATTATGGCGATTGACTTTGTTCCAGTTTTTTTTTTTTCACCCGGTATATAGCTCACAGAACGAATGCAATTCCGACAAAGATAAACCTTCAATACCACATGTTTTAACTTTGGCCATTTGGACCTTTCTCATTGATAGTTTTGACTTCTTTTATTCTTATATTAAGCCTTCTTCCATTAAATAAAATACATTCAAGGTATTACCTGGCATTTCCCCTGCACACACATATCCAGCGAGGGAGGTCGGCAGCGTTCACCATCCATAACATGGAGGCTCATTGGCACCAATACGCTCTGGTCATCGCCATCACTTCCAGATGGTTTGTGTGAACGTTCGCTATCAATTAGATGACCTCTGAAAAGAAATTAAAACATTTAATTATGTCATTATACGATCCATGAAGGCGTGCCTGTGGTCAAACATTGCTATTACGAACAGGAGTTATTAGAAATCAAGTTCAATTTTTTAGTTGTATTTCGTAAAAAAAATTTGAGATTATGTGGATCATAGCTACACTTCCTCTTAACATTTTTGAATACCCTGAATCTAGCTTCCAAATTAGTTCGGTTTATAACATTTTGACTGTATACCTTATTTAATAAAATGCTTAGAAATGTTTAGCAAATATTTTCCTTACTCACCTACAAGCCAAAATACATGGCTCCTTGGCATCATACTCCGGTATCCATTTGTATAATTTCCCAGCATATGGCACCATATCCAGTGCGGTACAATGTTTTTCACGAAAATCGATTTTTTCCCGGCATGACTGAGTATTACAAATGCGATAACGCATTCGCTCGCCATTGCAACCGTTTGGGCTCACACAACGACGTGTTTGTTGCATTACGCCACCATTGCAGGGACGCGAACACATTGACCATTCCGACCAGGCGGACCAGCCGCCATAAATGGTCATACGATTCAGTAGGTCACTCGCCGATGGCGGATACATGTTCACAGATCTCTTTTGCTGGAAAAAATGAAATGGTTGTGGAAAAATCACAAGAAATAAGGACGAGGAGGAGATTGGGATCAGGGAAGGTTTTGTTGAATTACCTGCAACTCATTTTCCAAATCTGTGGCGGTGGTCCAGGTATCATCAAATGCTGTGCTAGCATTTAGCTCTTTGGCATAAATGGAGGTGGTGTGGATTGTTGAAAACTGCAAAGGAAAATAAATAATTATTTATACTGAGTTATTTATACTGAGTTATTTATACTGAGTATTTACAGAAACGGTTTATATTCAACATAGAAAACATTAAAGAATGTTAGGAGCCTCTCTTATATTCCTGAATAATTTTATTAGACAAATATTAAATGGTCCCACCAATCGAGAGAATTTTTATTCTTCCGAAACTTTGATGAGATTCCTATGCAATTAAGTCTTGCCTATTAGAATAAGAGAGTCATTTTGGACAAAAGAATCCTTGAAAGGTGTCAAAGGAATGCGAAAATATTTATTTAATGTTCGAGTCATAGGTAAAGTTAGTTTTCACATTTATCTTTAGATTTTTGTAGCAAATTTTTAGGCATTCCCAACAGATTTTGAACCTTAAGAAATGCCTCTACAATATAGTATATTGTTTACTAGGTTTTGTTTTTTTTTTTTTGACAATTGTTGAGAGCGCCTAAAAATATGCTATAAAAATGCTAAATATAAATGCGAGAAAGTAACTTTACATATGACACTAGCTTCATGTGTAAACAAGTCCGTAAATATATAGTATTGTTCCATTTAAAGGACTTTTATGTCCCCTAATGACATTCTCTCTCCCTCTCTCTTCCTAAATGCCTCTCTTGGCCTTTAACTTTTCCACAATCTTAAGGAAGTAATTTTGTTTTGTTTTGCTGTTTTTTCCCCTCTTGTAACACAAAATAAATACCTTCCACCAAAACCCACAACAACAACAAAAAAACCACCAAAAGTGATTGACTAACTGACTGACTGACTCTATTTCAATTAAAGTGATTTCCTCGTGATATGTTTTATATACCCTCAAAGTGATTTGTTATTTTAGTGCCATTAATTTCCCCTCCAGTGGTTTCTTGCCCCGTTAGAATCACACACAGACACACACACAGCAATCTCAAAAGTAAACGACGTACATTATTAACAAGAGCAACATGCGGTGGCCACTTCCGTTTCCTAGTCGCCGCCGGTTTTTGACAAACTCAAGTCAAAGATATACACGACGCTCTGCACGTTCGACCTTTCTTATGCTGTCCGACCTACGACTGTTGTGTGTGTGTGTGCTTGCGTCTTTGTGGCAATCGTGTCTTTGGCTTCTAATGGACAACTAAACCCTAACAAACGATGCCCGTGCACGCTTTCGTCGTGGTCATAGGGAAAGACAAATACTCGAACATAGACACATGCCCTCACATAATGAATGATTTCCTAAGCTGTTTTATTCTTGTGTGGCTTTTTTGTTGTCCCTATGAATATTTTTCGTACTCATTGGCTGAGCAGCAAGACACACACAAATATAGTTTTTGCAACTTATAGTAGCGATAACCCAGCAAACCAAGTTGTCAGAGTTTGAAAGATTTTGGACAGATAAAATAAAAAAAACCATTAGATTTTACGCTAGGGCCTCAGCTATATAGTGAATTGATGTGTCATTGGAACGAAGCATTAAATGTAATCGCATTTCCGATTTTTGTCTAAATCTCGTCCTTCAATCAAAAAAAAAAAAAAAAGTAAAATAAAAATACCTTGTAGAATTTTTTACAGAAATCTTTTCTAGAAGAAGCCCTTGGAATGCTTATAAAGGGAGGCCTTGAAAAGTTTTCCGGACACAGAACCCGGTTTGCTATGGAGAGAAAAACCTTAAGAGGTATATACCACTTTCTATATGTCTTGTATCAAATACAGTCGCCTCAATACAGAGAGAGATCTCTCTATACGTAGACTCTATAAATTAAAAGCTATCTATGAGTATTCTACACACAGTAGTCAAAATTTAGACCGAAAATATTGTACATCAATCAAAAATTCGCCTAAAGGTCCTCTGTATATAGAAAAATTTAAATGTGTCTTCGAATATATTATTTAGGTCTTACATCAATAGATGGCTCGTATTTTAGTTTTCGTATTTTAAATATTAAAGGCCTTCTATTGCTATCTTGAAACAATTAATAAAAAAAACTTTTCTTCAAAAAGGAAGGACAGACTTACCCATTCCCTCATACCTATTTGATATATGTTGGATCATCTACAGAATGATATGAATGATAGACCGCTAAAAAATATTCCCTTTCTTTATTTTGGAGGTCTTGGACCCCAATTTCTAATATTTCGGGCTATATGCCCCATCTCCCATATATAACGATACCGCCAAATCCGTACCAAATCCGTTTGAGGACATATGGATTCGATCTAGCAATGTCCGTCTGCCCGTCTGTCAGCCTGCTGGCTGGTGAGCACGATAACTCTCGATGAGAGTATCCGATTTGGTCCAAACTTTGCACATCTTAACATTATTATCAAACTTAGATCGAGTTTAGAGATCCGATTCTGTTCTAACTTTGCAAATTTTAATATTTGCATTAGTGCTAGGTCAGGTAAGAAAATGGAATATATCGGTCTACTCCATCAAGTACCTCCCCCACAAACAGTCAAAATTTTGAATATCCATGCAGCTCATAAAACGCGAAATTGACATCCGATTCCATTCAGAATTGGGATATCTCAATATTTCCATCGACACAAGATTTTTTATAAATGTGGTGAAGATCGGATTATTTCTTCTGGTACCTCTCCCACATAGGATTCAAGGTTTTGAAAAAGAAAGCGCTCAAAGAAAGCGAAATAAGCATCCAATTCTCTTCCAATTTCAAATATACGAACATAGAGGGTCAACAGTTTGAACAATCATAACAGATATCAAAATGTATTTAAATAATCGAACATTGGCTGAGGGTAGGCATCTGTCGACAAAACTGGCCGATACTTTTTAACTTGTTTTTGCAATTTTTTCTATCCCGAATCATCTTTCCCTCTTTTTTTTTTTTTTTTTTTTTTGGGTTATCGTAGGAAGTATTCAACGATGGTCCATTTTTGGGGTACCCCATATTACGGTACCTCCTGGTATTCAGTATTTTATGGAATTCTAACCCAACTCCAATCAAATCAAGTATAGGTTAATCTTGCTCATGCTCAAACCTAGTCCTCGGAAAAAATATTAAATGTAGGTCCATTTTTCGCTGTAGCCCCATATTATGATACCTCCTAGTTGGTGGAATTTTCAATGATTTGCAGTTAGTTTGTAACTTGCTGTTAGTTGGCATTTCGGCCACTCCGTGGGTAGTTTAACTTCTCTTATATAATATTCACTGTAGATATAGCCTTTACATTAGCGAATTTCCACATTTAAGTTATTTTGAGTACAGCCGATTTGACTTTCTATGAATATGCTATAGAATTTCTTCACCCATGGAAGTTCTTCTAGCTATCCGCTAAAAAAACTCCTACAGATTTACGTTAGATCTACAATCATCATTTGATTAAATTTGAATTATAACTTTCCATATATATATTTTCATTTAAAGTCAAAAATTACGTTTTCGCACTCTAAAGTCCACTCAAGGTATCTCTGGTTTACTGGGCCTTCCAACACAATTTTTTGTCTATATGTGTGTGCGGGGGAATTTCTTGTCGAGTTATTAGTAGTTGTAGTTGTTAGTGCGCGCATATGTCTGCCATACTTGTCTTGCTATGCCACACACGTCGTAAGGAAAATTGTTATTTTCCCCGGTGGACGAAAGCGTGCCGCATTACTTAGATGCGAAGAGGACGACATTCCGCTCACTCCATCAATTCAACAAGGTAATGGCAGAGTCACAAGAACGGTTTACTAATGCAGCCACATACACACACCAACACATACTCATGTATATTGGAGGGTAGTGGAAAATGTGAAAGAGCAGGTGATTTTTGGTGAATTTTTCAACATCTAATGGATTTTTTCAAAAGACATTAGTAATATGCCAAAGCATTAGAAATAATTTAAAATCAATAGGAAGATCGAACATTTTTAGACTTTAGACTGACTAAAGTATAGCCAGAGAACAGAAATGATTATATACGTAACCATCAACCAGATGAAATGATTGTAAGAGCTATAGCGGCTCGTGTGGAAACTTGTACTGCAAGGATGCGAAAAAAACTTAAAATTAGTGTTAGATTTAAATACATGTGCGCCATCTCGATATCGATATTTGCAGTATACGTATTGCAGTAGGCTACAGCTAGAGTCGGATCTAAATATATAGAAAAGGTTATTAAAAACATAACGAAGGCGTACACGAGACAATGGTATGAGCTATAGCGGGTCGTTTGGAAAATTTCTTTGTAAGGATGTCAACATTCCAAAAATATGATTATTGTAAGAATGAAGTACATCTTATAATGAACGCCACCTAAATATCGATATTTGGAAGATAACTACTTATGGCATACATTTAGGCACAAACTTGTGTAACAACTTAGGCATAACTTATACGAAAATACCACTTTCCCTTCATCACTAGAGTTAAATTTAATTACATTTTACAGCGAACCCCATCTAGATATCGATATTTGAACGAAGTGGACTTGGCTGAAAACGCATTTACTAAAACTGAAGTATAGATGGCGCTCAACTATTTTATTTATATTTTACTATATATTTGGGCGCCATTTATACCTCAGTTCTGATTTTACCAACTTCTAATAATTATTTTAAATAATTTCATTTTTTTTAAATTCGCTTCATAACCTCATCACCCTAATCCACACTTTACAATTTTCTTAACATGTTCCCGGTATTCTCCATAGGCATTTAAAGATCTACAACTATGACAACAAATAAAAACCGAACATAAAAGCCAAGTTAATGTTTAAATACTTTGCCATTCCATTCCCTAACAGTTTTTGCGAGTGTGTGTGCGAGTGTATGTTTGGAAAATTTTAAATCATTTGCACGACAAGGACATCTAGCCTAAATGTAGGTGAGTGCGTCTCTGGGTGGGTGTGTGTGTGCGTGGTAGTACATGGAGGCGTATGCATGCATGCACGCACACACACACCCACAACATATTCATGTTTTAGAGGATATACATTTTTAAACGGCGATTATAGTTGACTTGGCCTAAGTGGTATATAAACGTTTTAGAATA